ACATGGATATCCAACTGCCATAGCACTATTTGTTGAAAAGAATATTCTTTCCTCCATTGAATAGTCTTGTTGAGTATCAATTAACCATGAATGTATGGGTTTATTGCTGGACTCTCAATTCTATTCGATTGCTCTATACATCTATCCTTATGTCAGTATCAAAACTGTTCAGATTACTTTAGCTTTGTAGTAAGTTTTGAAATTTGAAAGTGTGAATCTTCCAACTCGGTGCTTTATCAAGATTATTCTGGCAATTTGGAGTCCCTTGCATTTCCACATGAATTTTAGGACCAGCTTGTCCATCTCTGCAAAAAGGAAGTTGGAATGTTGATAGGGATTACTTTGAATCTATGTATCAATTTGGGGAGTGTTGCCATCTAAACAATATTAAGTCTTCCAGTCCATAAACATGGGATATCTTTACATTTATTAGGTCTTCTTTAATTTCTTTCAACAATGTTCTGTAGTTTTCAGCATACAAGTTTTACACTCTTTGGTTAAATTTATTCCCAAGTATTTTATTCTTTTTGATGTTATTGTAAATGGAATTATGTCTTAATTTCATATTTGGATTGCTCGTTGCTAATATATAGAGGTACGACTGTTTTTTGTGTATTGATCTTGTATCCTGTAACTTTGCTGAACTCATTTATTATCTCTAATAGCTTTTTAAAAGTGTTTTCTCTATATAAAATGATGTCATCTGTGAATGGAGATAGTTTTACTACTTGTTTTCACATCTAGATGCCCTTTATTTCTTTTTCATGCCAAATTTCACTGGATAGAACTTCCAGTACAACGTAGATTAGAAGGGGAAAGAGAGGACATCGTTGCCTTGATCCTGATATTAGGTGTAAAGTATCCAGTCTTTCACCATTAAGTATGATGGCAACACATTGGAGATTTGACAAGAATGAGAGGAAAAATACAGCAATCAAAACTTGTGGAATGCAGCAAAAGTAGTGCTCAGAGAAATTTATAATGGTGAATAGTGTCAAATGCTGGAAATTTAAAGTTTGATAAGATCAGGGAGAAAATGAATTTGGTAATCTTATTCCTTTGAGAGCAGCAGTGTGGGCATATACTAGATTCCTATGGACCAAGGAGGCACTAGAAGGTTTGAAAATGGAAGTCAGCATGTATAGCTGACTCCTTAAAAATTTCAGTTGTAGATTAAAGACGGAGTGAACGTAATAACTTTAGGGAGAATCAGGAGCCAAGGATGACTGTTACTGCAGTTGTAGTTTGTACATTTTTGGCTTATTTCCTAGGAAGCGTAGATCTGAGCATGGCTGGAGGAGTCCCCAAGAGGAAAATCTATGATGAAAGGGAAACATTGATGGAGTTGAGTTTTGGAGGGGAGCACTATGAACTCAAGCAGAGAGGGAAAAGGTTTGGCCCTAGAAAGGTGAGGTGGGAGGGAGAAGGAGGGGCAAAACTGGACTGTGAGTGGGAGGTAGGGAAGTTGAGGAAACTTTTCTGATGGATTATATTTTCTCAGTAAATGTAGAGAAACAACCATTCAGTGTGAAAGAAAAGGAGCTAGCTCAGGAATAAGAAAAATGATAAGTCCTAGAAAAGTTCTATAGTGATTGAAAAAGAGGTTATAGTTTAAGATAAAGATTGACAAGAAAATTATATGGGATCCAACCAAATAGTCTCTTCTTTCTGACATGCATTGGGCCTTTCAGGTGAACATTAACAATAAAAATTATTATCATAGGTAATATCTATTAAGTGCTTTCAGAATGCCAGGCATTGTGCTAAGCATTTAAATGCATAATCTCAATCAGTCCCCACAACAGTCCCATTGTACAGTTGAGTAAGTACAGAGAGAAATGAGGATGGAGTGGAATTCTTGCTTGACCATGTGTACTAGTTACGTATTTTGGGAAATTTACTTAATCTCTCTGAGCTCCAGATTACTCTTAGAGAATGGGGTATTTTATAAAATTGTTAGGAATAGTAAATGAGATGATAATATTCCTATATTGTGAAAGGGCCAAATACCTGCTGGGTGTTTTGGGTTTTTTTTTTTTTTTTTTACTGTAAAACCATCATAGGATGTGGAGTGTTGCTGAGCCAACAATTTGATCCCAGATCATTGTGATTTGAGTTTGTATTCTCACTCCTCAAAGGAAGACTAGGCCTTGCACTTCAGAAGCGAGAGTCCCTGTTAACTTCTGCTGGCAAGCAGGAACCATAAATTCAATCTGGGGTAAAACAACAGGGGCCATTAGAGACAGTGGCTCGAACTGGAGTCCCGCCAAGGGCATTTATGTTCAAACACACTGTGGAGGCCAAAGAAACCTCATCCACAGATTAGATGAGGCCCATGTGCTGCCAGTTTGTGACTTCTGGGGACTGTAGTTTAAAGGTTGCAGATTCCACCTGCCTCTCACTAACTATGTGACTTTGCAGAAGTCACTTGGCCTCCTTGTACCATGAAGTGAAACTAAGCGATGGCCTGTATCTCAGGGATAGTGCTAGGACAGGCTGGTGAAAGTTGGTCAAGTTCTGAGCAAGTCTTGCATGAAAAAGTCCTACCAGTACAGTGAACAGTTGGCAAAGGCTGGGGTGAGGTGACAACACAGAAGGTAACATTACCTGGGGAGTTCCCTTTGGCAACAGACCTCAGTGTGCTTTTGGAGATACTGATTAATGAAGCTGCTTGTCCCTTGTGAGCAGTAGGTCGGATAATATTGCTTTTCTGCAGGTGTGTCGAGATAGGAACCTGGGGAGAGTCAGGGTTAGGCCACATCCAGACAGGGACAGCAGGAGAGCTTGAATTCAATCTCCTAAATGCCCCAGGCTTTTCCCCCAGAGGATCTCAAATCACTTTTCCAGGCAAAAGCTGGAAATCCTGAAACCTCCCTGACCCAAAAGAAACACGCATTGCCTGGTTGCTGTGGTTGAAATCACTGCTCACATTTATTGAAAAAGCAGAACATAATGCATGAGTGGGGACCCAGCTTCCAAAGTCCCTCCAGCATTTGCTGCAAATCACCCTCAGGCTTATCATTCCCTTGGGTGGATGCAACACTGCTATAATGAGATGTCACCAGGAAGGAGAAACTAGAGGATGCACTTTCTATTGTACCATCCTATGAAGAATACATCTAACAAAGTAGTGGCAGAAGCTTGGAAGTGCAAGTACCCTTGAGCAAGAGTCCCCATTCCATCCAATACAGGGCAGAGACTTCTCCCCAGAGTGCTTGACTGTATTTCCACCCCCACCCCTGGGCAGCAGCCTGCCACCAAGACTCAAGCGAACACAAGGGTCATCGCCCCAGACTGGCTGCCAGAGCACCAAGGACAAGGTTTTCCTAAAGGAAGAAGAATGGAAATCTGACAGCAACTGTCATTTCTGATGGAGAGGACAGCACAAGCAGGGCCCAGCAGTGCCTAGGGTCAGCTATGGGTGCCAGATCCTGATGGGGGAGGCAGCAGTTTCTACCAGTGGGATGGCACTTGGTTTGAGAGGTCGTCATTAGAGGATGACCAAGAGACAGCTGCACAGCTGACTTCTTAATAAGACAACTGGGACTGATTGCATGTGCCTATGTCAAGGCCTCCAGTGATAGGTATAGTGAATACTCTTTTTTTCACTTGCAGTACTGTTTTAAAGAGTCCCGGGGTGGTGCAAACAGTTAAGTGCATGGCTGCTAATGGAAAGGTTGACACTTTAATCCATCCAGAGGTGCCTCAGAAGAAAAGACTGGCAATCTGCTTCCAAAAGGTCACAGCCATGAAAACCCCATGGAGTGTGGTTCTACTCTGCACACATGCCACGCATTAGAATCAACTCCAAGGCAACTCATTTCTTTTAAAAATTGTTTTAAAGTTTTCTTTTTAAAGAGGGTGAAGTGCTGTGATTATGTATAGGAACTGATGTAAGGACGCATGACAGACGTGTGAATATTGTTGTCAGCGTACAGATGATCCTGTGGATGGAAAGTGTTTACACTGAAAAGAAGAGATTAACCTGTCTGGAACAAGATTCTGGGGAGTCTGGATGGGAACGAGATGAGGTCACCCGATCCCAATGTGTAAGAAGGGGTCTTTGCAGAATGGAAGTTCACAGTGTATTGGGTCAGTTCACTTTGAATCCAGAGAAGTTAGAAGCAATTACTAAGCAAACAAATACATTAGGATTTCGCAGGGGCTGAGATATTGCTCAGGTTCCCCCGACTTAAAAATGTGGTTTGATGAAACATGACAGGCTTATAAAGGCAATTCCCCTCTAGATTCAAGAGACCTCTGGGTATCATCTTCAACTCTGGATAACTGGTGTTGGAAATCAGGTATAATTCATCTTGTTTAATTACCTGCTGCCCCACTCCCAACTCAATTCCTTTACCTGTGATGACCTCCTTAAGCCTTTATGTGCCTCAGCTGTGATGGAAATGTTGGCAGGTGTAGGGATGCCTTGCACATATTTATTCGTAGGCATCCTTGGGTGCTTTGCAATGCCACCGTCTTCCTTCCAATGATGTGGAAAAGGAGGCTCCAGAAGGTTCTGTGACTTGCTTCAGATCATCCGTCAAGGTTGTACTGAAGCTTAGAACTTAGAACCCACTGACCCTGCTGAAATAAAGGCTAAGCCTCTGGATCTCTTGCACATCTAGAGATTCTAAAGTGTGCTTTTCCCAGTCATTGCACTTTCCCCCAGCCCTCAGTTCCGCGTTGTGACTGGCAGCAGAGAACAGGCCGGAGGCAAGCACTCCGCGCTCCGCTCCGGGAATCCCTCTGCCTTCATACTTCAGAGCACCGGGGGGCCAAGCCCGGCAGTGAGTGAGGTGTGATGCTGAGGACAGCAAGGCTAGCAACCAAGGTGAAGGCAAAACTTGCCATTTTAACAAATTAGACTCTACCAAATGCATAGTAAAAATATCCTCCATAAGATCTGAAATATGTACATACACAAAACTACCATCATTTTCAATTCCCTGTTGACGGGAAACTCCCTAAGCACTGCCCCGGTCCGCGGGGCCCGCGCCTTAGCCCCGTAGATAGGTGGCGCGGGCGTGTTCCGGCTTCAGGGCGTTGATGTGCGGGATCCGGCCAGCGGGCACCGCCAGTTTCTCGCTGAGTTTCTGGTTCACCAGCTCCAGGTGGCGGGTGTTCTTCCGAGCCTGCCGCAAAGACCGCTTCACCTTTTTCACCCGCTCTCGGAGCTGCTTGTTTCGCTTCTCGAGGGTGGCCACCTTCTGCTGCAGTTTCTTTACGTGGTCCTCCTCCTCAAATAGGGCCTTCTGCACCGAGGAACACATGAGCTAGGGAAACAGCATGGAGAGGAAGGTGAGCTTCAGAAAATACCTCCCAGGAAGTTTCCCTGAGTGTCTGGAACCTCCCAGAAACAGACGCCGAGGGCACTGACAGCGTCCACCGTAGGCCAAGGACACAAATGAGTCTACCTCCCCAATGCTTCGCTGTTCCTCCTACTCACTGCCAATGCTTGGGTTCAAGCCTCAGGACTCCTTGCTAGGTTTTCACCCTGTGTGGAGTCCCTCGGTGGTGTAAACAATTACTGTTCTTGGCTGCTAACCAAAAGCTTGGAGGTTTGAGGCCACCCACAGGTATCACAGAAGAAAGGCCTGGCGATCTATTTCCAAAAAATAAGCCATTGAAAACCCTGTGGAGCACAGTCCTCTGACACACATGGGGTCACCATGAGTTGGAGTTGTCAAGGCAGCAACTGGTACTTCCATGTTTGGAGAAGCGAAGTCTCTCGAAGAAACCCTGCCCTGGCTGCAAATATGAGCACAGCCTTTCTTTTGCTTTATATACTTAGGTTCCTTGGATGATTTTGGTTTTAAAAAGATATTCTAAATATTTGCCATGCATATTGTAGGAAAGAGCTCCTACAAACCAATAAGTAAAAGACTAAAACCTCAAACAGAAAAACACACAAAGAATATGGGTAGGTCACAGAAAAGGAACTATAAATATCTCTTAAACATATAAAAGATGCTCAACCTTACTCGTAATAAGATAAATATAAATTAAAGCCAGAAGCAAATACTATTTTTAATATATTAGATTGGTGAAATCAAAGAGTCAGGATTTGGGGAAAAGACACTTATACATTGTGGGTTGAATTTAAAGAGCAATTTGGCTGTATCTATCAAAATAAAAACTGCATGTACCCTTTAACCTAGTAATTCTGGGTCTTTTATAGAAATAGTCCCATGTGTGCAAAATGTCACATATATTACAGCATTGTTTGTTATATAAGGAGATTGAAAACAATATAAAAATACCCATTAAGAGTGGACTGGTTAAATATAGTATAGGTTTGCGATGAGTTGGAATCGACTTGATGGAAGTGAGTTTGGTTTTGGTTTACAGCTTTGTTTTGATCTTGTTAGCTGCTGTTGAGTCAGCCCCTGACTCAGAGCAACCCCATGCACAGCAGTACAAAACACTGCCTGGTCCTGCACCATCCCCATGATAGGTTGGGGATCCAACCGTTGTGATCCATAGGGTTTTCACTGGCTGATTTTCGCAAGTAGATCGCCAGGCCTTTTTTCCTAGTATGTCTTAGTCCGGAAGCTCTGCTGAAATCTGTTCAGCATCATAGCAACACACAGGCCTCCACTGACAGACAGGTGGTGGCTGCCCATAAAAAACAAAGCAGCTCCTTATGAATTTCTATGTAACAGTATCTAAGTTACGTTGTTAATATAAAAAGTGTGTACAGTGTGATACTAAGAGTGTAAAATATGGTATCCATATGTATCTACCTATGCTTAAATATGCATATGCTATCCCTGGAAGGATGTATAAAAAACTGATGAGAATGGTTGTGTCCAAGGAGCAGAAGTAAGGGGCAGGAGTGAGGAGATTTATTTTCACTGTGTAGCCTTTTGTACTTTTTGAATTTTGTACTATATGCTCGTATTACCAAAAAAAAAAAAAAAAAAAAAGCCTTCTCACTTCCAATCTCCCATCCATTCTATACTGTATTGTCAAGTTATGCTCCCAAAGTAAGGCTTCAGCCCTAATTTCCCTCTGCTTAGAAATATCCATTGGATCCCCACCATGTACACTGTGAAATAGTTAAAAGCCCACATTCTGAGGCCAGCTGCCTGGTGTTCAAATCCTGCCTCTTCCACTGACTAGCACTGTGACCTCATGCAAGCTTCTTAAGCTCAGGGTGGTGGCCTCTGTGCTGCATCACCCAGATCCCCCTTTAGGACTGAAGGATTTGTTCCCCCAGCTGTTTGGAGTACTGCCAGCTGAGAGCCCCCAGCCGAGTCCCTCTCCAGGAACTGTCCCTGGCTTAACGGAACCACCTCACCCAAGGTCACACCCCCTTTCCTGGCATACAATGACTGATCGACACAGGTGTAAAAGCCAGGGTCCCTCATCCCAATTTGGAACAACTCTGAAGGGCCATCCCAGCTTCAGAGCACCCCACGGTGTAGGCTGAGGCCTTTGTAAGACTGCATCACGGTTCAACTTCTCCCTTTGCCCAGTCCTGCTTCCTTTCCATTCCCTTCCCTTACTAGGTGTTAATCCCAGGTACACTCTCTAAAACACCTCCTGCACATTCAACTCCATCTCAGAGTCTGCTTCCCAGAGAACCTCGCCTGCAACACTCACTTTCCTCTTGTGTACAATGAAATAATCATGGTACCTGTTATAGATTGAATTGTGTCCCCTAAAAAGATATGCTGAAGTCCTAACCGTTGTACTGTAAATGTGACCTTGTCTGGAAATAGGCTTTTTCCTTGCAGATGTTATCAGTTAACTTAAATGAACTCATATTGGAGTAGGGTGGATCCTAATCCTAATCCCTTCTGAATGATGTCTTACAAAAGAGAAGAACAGGCAGAAACACAGTCACAAACACGGGGAAGACAGAGGCCACGGGATGGTGAAGGCAGATGCATCTATAAGCAGCCAAGGAACACCAAGGATTGTTGGCACCACCAGAAACTAGGAGAGAGCTGTGGAACAGTTCCTCTCTCAAGGCTGCCAGAAGGAATCAACATGGCCGAGATACTGAATTAGACTTCTAGCCTCCAGAACTGTGAGAAAATCAGTATTTATTCTTTAAAGCCACTCACTTTGGGGTGTTTTGTCATGGGAGCTCTAGGAACCTAAAATAGTACCTATGTCATAGGGTTATTGCAAGGGTTTATTTAGTGAGTTTTACTTGTAAAGTGTTTAAAGCCATACCTGGCACATAGTAAATGTTCACTAAATGTTAGCCATTATTATAGGAAAAAGTTAACACTCTTTGTAACTTGGACCCAGCCTACATCTCCAGTCTTATCTCTCATCCTTCTGTTCACACCCTTATGCCCAAAGCAAACTGGCTCCTAGTTGTTCCCCCAATATACCTTATACTTTCCGATCTTAGGGCCTCAGAGGGCTGAGCTCTGCCTGGCAATCTTGTAGACATTCTGAGGGTCCACTATGATAATGCTTCCCCCAGTGTCCCCAACTGTACATAACATTTCCTACTTCTGTGTCTCCACAGCACCCTATTCATAAAGTACATACAAGTACCATGCAGCACAAGGGGTATTCACTTCTCAACACCTTTCTTTGATTGCAAACTCCTTGAGGCCCATTTCACATTGGTCTTTGTATCCTTAATGCCCTGACCATTTAGGCAAACAATAAAAAAATTGTGCCAAGTGTCCCCAAAATACCTGTCATTTAGTAATAAGCTTTGGCTTCCTGGAGATGCTACTGTTGCAGTGAGAAACCACGTGTGCAACACTGCCCTCTTCTGGCCAGAATGAGACCCCTCAAAAAGAAGAGACAGTGGGCAGGAGAAACTCCTTGGAGAACTCATTTATATTGCATATGAATAGATAAGGAGCCCTGGTGGCCCAGTGGTTAAAGCACTTGGCTGCTAACCAAAAGCTCAGCAGTTCAAACCCACCAACTACTCTGCAGGAGAAAGATGTGGCAGTCTGTTTCTGTAATGATTTACAGCCTTGGAAACCCTATGGGGCAGTTCTACTCTGTCCTATAGGGTTGTTATGAGTCAGAATTGACGGCAGTAGGTTAGGGTTGGGTTGGTATGAATAGATATTATGTATATAATTTATTGAGGGTTTAACATGGTCAAGTACCAGCAAGCACTTTGCATCCACTCTTACATTCAGTCATGGTCTTTCTATAAATTAAGACAGATTCTTCAACCAAGAATAGGATGAAAGAATACAAAGAAAGTCTAGTAAGACAAAGTGATTGGGGTTTTCACAATTGCTCAAATTTTGAAAAAACAGAATCCAATAGTTTGTTGGAATATCACATCAATGAGAAGTTCAATCCATATTTTATGATATTCTTCAAACACTGCAGTTTAAAATAATAAATAAAAACATAGGGGGATGCAAAAAGCATTGCACATTTGGTGAAACCTTAGTCATCACTTGTTAATACAGCATCTTTCTAAGATATCAACACTCTTCATAGGCATCCCTCTTACCATGGGACCAGCTGTTCCCTTCTCTAGGAAGGCTAGAGCCAGATAATAAATTCATCTGCAGCAAGACCAACACAACCTGGCCAAGAGGAAGAATTTCTTGATGATGACCTGAAGAAACCAAGACAGTACAAAGGATCATCTTGCAGTGTATGTATGTTGAGGCTGGGGGTTGAGGGGGAAATGCAGGGGAGTTATTAAGATGGGATAAACTCTAAAGCAAGGCTGTAGTGTGGAAGGGATGGATGGGATGACGAGTTCCTTCGTGTCTATGCCATTTTTGATTCTCACAGCCTCTCTTTAATATGGGGTTTGAGTAAGAGCAAAAAAGACACAGAAGGACTCTTAGTAACTTGTCCAATATCATCAGCAGCAAAGCTATGACCCAGGGCTCCGTATCAAGCAGAAGCTCTCTACCTGTGCAGCAAAGTGGGCTATTGCCTCCAAGTAGGAAGAATCTAGGGTTTAATGGGTGGTAGGTATGATTGAGTCAAAAAGGAGCCTGGGTGGCACAAGTGGTTTGCAATAGGCTGCTAACCTAAAGGTTGGCAGTTCGAACCCACCCAGCTGCTCCACAGAAGAAAGGTCTGGTGAACTGCTACCATAAAGATGATAGCCAAGAAAACCCTGTGGAGCAGTTCTACTCTGTAACACATGGGGTCGCCATGAGTCAGGGGCTGACTTGACGGCAGCTAACAACATCTTAGTCAGAGGCCATGTGAACTGAGGCTAACACCATAAAATAATGAAGCCGCAGTCAACTGTATCTAAAAGAGACCTCCTGAATCCTGGCCATAACTGCAGAAGAAAATTACATTTTTCTTA